TATTAATAAAATCATTTTTGTGCAACCACCTAAGCTAAATTTTACCTAGCAACCCCCCTAGTTACAGAAAAAATGTCAATAAAACACATCTAGTCAAGCTTTTTTTCCGGATTTTTTTTTTGCAATTTTGTTAGAAATGCTTTCTATTATCTCTAAAACCATATTTTAAAACCACATTTAAAATAGTGTGCTAAGATAAGTCATCTTTTCAAGCTTGTACACAATTAACACAACCTTTCTACAAAAATAAAGAGTCTAAGACAGAATATAATAGAGTTAGAGTTAAATTTTTTTTACTAAAATTCTTCGAAAACGTAAATGTACCTTTTATAGTTAAAAAAAAAGAGAAAAATTTGTAAATATTGGTGTAAACAATGTTAACAGAAATGATGTAAATATTGTTGACTATTATTATTTATTAATGCATCAAAAAAAAAGTGAAGCAAGTAATGGTACCGAGTGGAAACTTAAAATGTGTCAGTGGCTACAGGGTTATTGATATAGAAATTTTTATCTTCCATTTTTGATAAACTTGGGTGTCCAGAATGTTTGTGACCATCACAGTTGTCGTTAAACGAGAATAAAAAGTCTTAAAAAAGATATGTATCAAATTTATCTTTATCTTGTGTTTGTGGTTTTAAATTAGACTTTGATACATCAAAAAATGTAGCATGGTATGATATTAATAAAAGATTGTTGTATGCTATGAGAACACTTGGTCAAGGCCACATCGGTTTAACACTCTTATGAATATCCCAAAAGGATTATGCAATAAAAGCTACAATGTTATTGTTCAGAAAATGACAACCGCAGCACAAACTGTTGCTAATAAAACTATGAATGAAGCTGTACTAGATCTCAAGGAAGAAAAATCTTCTAATTAGATTGTAGATGCTGGAGTTTCTGTTGATGGAACATGACAAAAAAGGGGATATAGTTCACACAATGGGGTGTACTCAACATTATTGATTAATTGATTGATTGCAAAATTATTTTGTTAATTGCATCAGTCAAAATTGTGGCAACCTTAAAGGTATGAGATCTTCAGCCTCAGCAAGTTTATTTTATGCAGCATCTTCAAGCAAAAATAATTAGCATTACCCGCATTGTCCCACAGGTATAGACAGTTGGTGTGAATACAATTGGGATTAAGCTTATAGAACCAATGAGTATTAACCAGGACCAGGTCTTCCAATTGAAATTGTACTTAAGTTAAATTCCATTTCTGTAGAATTAACATCAGATGCTTATTTAAATCTTTTACTTCATGGAAAAACACAGAACCAAATTTAAAGCTTTAATGATATGAAATGTTCCAGAATACCAGTGTCAAAGTATGTTTCGCTTACGCAACTGAAATTTGGACTCTATGATACTACTGGAGCCTTTAATATTGCATTAAAGTCTAGTATCCTTATATTTGAAAGACTTAATATGATACAAAGACAGTATACAATTTCTAGATGCAATTATTTGAACCAGAGAAGAATTAGGATGTCAGAGTATAAAAATCAAGACACTATTAAGAAACAAAGAAAGATTTTAAGAGGCTGCTAACATAAAAAATCTGACAAATTTAAACAAAATGAAGGAAATATGTATTGGGCTGTTGTTCATGATTAAAAACTACTATTAATATGCTCTTTTTATATAATATTTTTTGTATTTTTATGATTTTTAAATATTTTTCGTCACAATTTGTCATTTTTCTCAGAACGCGTGTTTTTAATCTCCCGGCAGAAGTATCTTGAGAACCGCTTGACCGATTTAAATAAAATTTTCAGGAAATATTCCTCTCATAAAGATGAACAGACAACTTTTTAAAAACGTTTTTTAAACTAAAGAAATTAAAGAAAACGTTTATCATTTTTGTGCTTAAAATGTTTGCCAAAATTAAACAGGCCTACCATCTGACAGAAAAGTTGTTTGCAAAAACTGTCTGCTTATTGCATAGATCTATCTTTCTACTATAAGTTGGAAAACATTAGCTAAAATTATCATTCTTATTAACTGCAATCTTTGCCAGGGTGAGGAAACTAATTTGACATTTTTCCTTAGTTACCATGTTGCTATGGCAACGGAGTGCCATTTTATATAATAAATCTTCTTAACATTTTGTGTACTTTTATTTGAAATATGTAATAACTTTGTTATTGCTTTACTTTAGAAAATAATTTTTTGAAAGGTTTTCCCTCTTAAAGCATTATGGGTAAAATATTTATGATATGATATTTTTTAAATGTCAGAATGTCCTCAACATTTCTCTTAATTATTCTAAGCTTTTAGATATATTTTGTTTACAAGTTAAGTTACAGAAGATTACTCTCTTTATTGCCCAAAAATTATGCAAATAATTTTTTTTTTTTTAATATAAAAAAAGATTTTTTTTGTAATTTGTTTTTGAATACTAAACAAGAAAACTATAACTTAAAATCAGATTAAGTAAATCACTGGTCATTTCGAAACTATGAACATTGAAGTTCCAGCAACTTTTTATTCTCGTTATATTTGGAGCAAAGCGAAATATCAAAAAATATCAGAATATATCATAGATTACGACTGGGACAAAAACTTTACAAATCACTCAGCAAACCTAAACTACCAACTACTTGTAAATAAATATATGGAAGCTGTGTGCAAATACACTCCAGTGACTTCTTGGACCACACCGCAAGTTAAAGAAGCAATTTTTCGTAAACGTAATCTCTGGAGGCAATATGTCACTTTTGGAACTAAAACACATGAGGCACTCAAGAGTAAGCATAAAATAACCTGTAAACATGTTTCAAAGGTAATAAAAGAAGCTATTCAAAGACACGAATATCAGTTAGCTAGTGTTTTCAAAAATGAACCAAAGAAACTTTATGAACACATTAAACAAAAAGAAGAAACAAATAACTCACTTCAAGCTCTCAAAGATGACAATAAAAGCATTGTAACCGATGGTGCAGTAGTCTCAGGTATTCATTACACTACTGAAAAGCTCATTACACTACTAAAAAACCAGATTCACTGCCAGTTTTTAAATCACGTACAAAAGTATCTTGCACAATAGACCTAAATCTCCTTTCGGCAACTTCAGTCCAAGAAAGACTAAAAAAACTCATTGAAACCAAGTCGAATGGATATGACAACATGTATCCACAAGTATTACACAACTGTGCTTTATCATTAGCAATTCCATTAACTATGATGTATCATATATTAATATGCAATTCACAGGTTCTAGAGCTTTGGTAAAGATGAAATGTCACCCTATTTTGAAACAAGGCAACAAGCAGAACCGAGCCAATTATAGACCAGTATCATTAACATTGGTACCCTGCAAAATTATAAAAGGTAATTTTCACGAAAAAATTATAAACCACTGTCTAACCTAAAGGTGAGTTTCCACTCATCTGTTTTTCTACGGGAATGGGAAAGGGAACGGAAAAATAATCACGTGAGCATGCGCAGTTTTCTTTCGGACAAATAAAATTTCTTATTACGCATGCTCACGTGATTATTTTTTCCTTTCCTATCCCGTTCCCGTTGAAAAACGGATGAGTGGAAACTCGCCTAAATATCCAAAGAACAGCACGGATTTCTTCATAGTAAACGACGTACATCGAATTTACTTGAGACTAGGGATATACTAACAGAAGCAATGCATCAAGGCTACGCCACTGATATCATTTTCACTAACTTTTCGAAAGCCATCGATAACGTTCCACACGTCAGACTTTTACACAAACTTAAAGCATATGGTATAAACGGTTTGGTCTTAGACTGGACTGAAAACTGGCTAAGGAACCGTTATCAACAAGTTGTAATTGGCATGCACAAATCTAAATGGAAATGTGTAACAAGCGGGGTACCCCAGGGCTCTGTGCTTGGTCCACTTCTTTTTATATTATATATAAACGATCTTCCGGACTATATTACTCATCACATAAAGATTTATCCCAACGATTGCAAAATAATCGCAGTTCTAAAATCTGACGAGGACAAAACTACCTTGCAAATTGACATAAATAACTTAGTAGATTGGTCGCATAAATGGAATATGCCTCTCAACTTCGATAAATGTAAAGTTATGCACGTCGGGCGTGATAACTCCAAATCTGTTCAAAATTATTCGATGCTTGGCTTGAGTGGAAACAGAATTCAACTGGACGCCACTAAGCACAAACATGATCTGGGAGTAATTCTATCAGACGATCTTAAGGTATGCTATCAAGTTGAATCAGCAGCAGCAAGAGCCAACAGTAAACTTTTTATACTAAAGAAAATATTTAGAAGCCGTGGACTCTTTTTATAGAAAGTACTCTACAAAACCTATATTAGACCCCAATTAGAATTTGCTATCCAGGTCTGGTCACAACACAAGGAAAAAGACATTGCTGATCTAGAGCAAGTGCAGCATAAAGCTACAAAAGCAATAACGGAAATGAAGCATTTGCAATTAAAAGATAGACTCCGTCATCTCGACTTAACCACACTTAAAAAAGGAGAGTTCGAGATGATCTCATTCAACAATTTAAATTTTCAAAAGGTATTGACCAAATCATTTTTGAGAACCCTTAAGTCTACGCACCATCGATTTCTAAATACAATTTGCGTGGGCATTACCTTACCCAGCGGGCATTCGAACATTTAATCAACGTTTAGTTAATGTTCGTTCTTAATGTTTAGATTTAATTTAGTTTCGATTTAGAACGTAGGTCAATCGAGTGTTCCATTTAAACCATATCTAAGTGGTTCGTTTTAAACGCTATTTAAACTCCATCTAAATCTTTCGCTTAAAACTTCGCGACGTTAAACTTTATTTTACGGCGCTTATTTAAAGAAGCTTAAATAAATAAAAAATACTGATAAACGAATCAAACTTTTCTTTTATTTAGGCTGCTTTAAATAAGCACCGTAAAGAAAAGTTAAACGCTGAACGCATTATCTAAATACTCATAAACAAATCAAACATTAAACAGATAATTTTTTATTTATATAAGTTTAAGATACAAGTAAAATAATTTTATTTATCATTATATGCATTACCGTAATCGTCATCATGATCGGCTCCATAATGATCATCGTCATCTTTGTTTGAACCGATTAAGCCTCTTCGTTTTAAGAATTAGAAAAAAGGACATAACCTTTCCTATTTCCACCTATACGGAAGGGAGCCATTCTAAGATGGGAATCAATGCACGATACCGGATTGCGCATACCGAAGTCATACAATCTCCTTTCTAAAAATAATAAAAATAACTCAATAGACATCTTCATTCTATTCATATAAGTTATTCATTTAACAACTTTATAAATCCATAGTTTTATAGATTATAGAAGTTTGTACATTAGTACAGTGTACATTGAGTAACTATAGTAACAATTGATAGAGAAATTTTTTTTAAAACTCTGTAAAATATATAATATTTATATAATAAAAACCTTATTAAAAAACTTGTAGTTATCGCAGTTATGGGTTGATAAGTTGCATAATTGCAGGAAAACTGCAGTGCTGAAGTTTGATAACTCCCATTATTTGCAACTGAAGTTTGAAGATTCATTGTCTTGAGTAGGCACTCTCAGTATCCTGTTTGATTGAAACTTTCTATTCAATTGAAAAGTTGTGGAGATACCGAGATTTTCACTACAATATAAATAAACATGTAAAAATAAAACTGTAATTCTAAAAATTTTTAAAGTTAAAAACTAATCAATAAACATAATAATTAAAATTTGTATATCAAAATCATATATGTTCTAACACGCAATTCAAGCTAAAAATTAAGTATTACTTGATCAATCCATTAGTTTGTGTTTTGATATAGTAGTTATATAATGAATAATGGTATTTTAGAAATCAATTTTGGGCTAACAGAAAAGGAGACTTTGCATGTACTGATGGGTTAGCTACAATGTAAATAATTATATAGATATATTATGTATGCAAAGTTATTTTAAATAAAAATTTAGTAAAGCATTATAAATTTGACTTTAAAAAGTCTATCCTAAAAGGATTACACTGCTAAATATGTTCATAAGTCATAAAATTAACAGGTTTATCTAAAAGTAAAGGAGTTCTATATAAAAGATATAAATTTAGACACCTTACTTGATTAGTCCATTCTACAGTCTTTTGGTATAGTAGTCACACTTGATTTTAATAAAGATATCTTAGAATGCAATTGAATGCTTGAGACAAGGTGGCTGTGGAAGTGGTGATGGTTAAACTAAAATGTAAATCTGAGTGTATATTGTTTGAGATATGTTCATTACAATTATTATTAGTCTTCAAAGATGTAAAGTAGGACAACTTACTTGCATAATCAATTGAATATACATGCGGTACCACATCCATATTATCTTTGTATAATTAAACATTTGTAACTTTTTTTTATACTTAAGTGCATCATGCATGCATGCTATATTATAATATAGCATGCATAAATAATGCATATAAGTACTTATAGCACTAAGGTCTTCACATACTTTATTTCATGTTTATTGTAACATCAAATTAACTAACCTGTCAATATTCGTACCTTTTGCATTAGCATTAACATAAAATTCTTCCTTAACTGAAAAATAAAAACTATTTTACTATACCGTAAAAATGGTTAATCATTTACTTATTAAAACTTGCTTCTTTTTTTATACATAAAAAGTAGAACAAACTAAAAAAAACTATTATTTTTAAATTTACAATATATATATATATATATATATATATATATATATATATATATATATATATATATATATATATATATATATATATATATATATATATATATATATATATATATATATATATATATATATATATAATATTATTTGCTTTAACAAGCGATTTATTCAATTTTTCCATAATTAACCATTTCTACTGTAATTGCATTAAACAAGTAATATTAACTTTGAAGAAATTGAAAAAAAAAATTAATTTAGATTAGAATAATGCAAAATTATGGATTAATTATATGCTATTATTTTCAGTTTATATATTATTAGTTTCTATTTAAACATTAACAAATTAAAATAAAACCTTTAAAAGAGTTGTATAATCAGTACTTTTGCGCTTTTTTGTTATCGGCTGATTATCAATGCCTTCTTCAGTTTCTGTTATTCTAAACTTTTGCAATAACAATCTGTAAAAGGAATAACAAAACATCTTATCCAAAGCAATGACAAAGAAATTAAAAAAGTAAATTATTTAAAATTTTGTGAATAAAAACTCTAATATCACAAACTAAAATAACAACTTAATAAAATATCAAGCTTTTGGTTCTTCCAACCAAACAGCCTGGCGATATGACATTTTGCTGAAATGTTAACACTAATTTGGTTGAAAGTACATACACTCATAACATTAACTTGTAACTAAACTTGTTAAAAGTGTTTCAAATAAGTTTAGTCGTTTAGTTTTTTAACTAAATAAGTGTAAGTAAATTTATTTTCTCTTTAGTGGTTATCATATAGGAGTATGAATAATACTTAAATTTTTAAAAATATTTTTCAGTTTACACTAAAAGCCTTCGCTAAAACTGAAGATCCATTATATAAATATTTGAACCTCACTATTTTTGATTGGCACTGACTTCACTAAAAGTATAAATATTATAACATAGCTATTCAATCAATATAACATCTATCATAAACAAACAGATGTTAGGTCTTAATATAAACAAACAATAATAATTTTATTTAGTTATTTAAAAAGTAGTTACCACTTAAAATGCATAATTTTTCTCTAAAACTTTCAGAGAAAATTTATGCATTTTAAGTGGTAACTATTTTTCATAATTTTTCTACTTTTAGTAAAAGTAGAAAAAATAGGAAGCTAAGAGTTAACTATAGACTATTATTTCAGCCTATGATTGTTCCAAATTGGCTTTGTCATGAACAGTCAGTTGAAAGACGAGTTAAACAGGTAACAGAAGCAGCAGGCAAACTTTATTCTCAAGAAAAAAGAGATGGTTTTATAAGAGGGCAGGACTTATCAAGAAAATTGATGTCTACTAATCGGTCAAAGAAAGATTTGATTTTAATGACAAAAAAAAAAAGAAATGCAAATTTTATATTGTTAAAAAAAAATTATAATAAAAAAAATCTATTTTTATTAAATAAAAAACTAAATGATACAAAAATGATTACAAACGAAAACTATTATAAACATTTTAATAATAATAATTTTAAAAAATCAAAAAAAAAAAAAAAATTAAGCCGACAAAAATATACAACCACAAGCAAATATTTGCTGTTCTATTAGGAAATTTTCCGCGAATTTTAGTAAATACTTAATATCGTTATCCAGTAGCCAAAACATTTCGGATTTTTAAATCTAAACTTTTTTTAGTAAAATTATATATAAATAAATTATATATGATAAACAGGCTCGATCACTAGGCCAAATAAATAGCCGCGGGCCCCACGTTATGTTCCAACAAATAATCCAACTCTAAGTCAGACATTTAATCACTAGCAAAATATTTGCAAAAAACTGCATATAAATTAAGTATTTAATCTTAAATAAATCTGCTAATTTTAACTTATAAAAAAAAAGTGCACGAAATTTTACTTCGTCAACTTGCACGAAATTGTGCAAATCATCAAAAAAAAAAATTCAAAACGAAAACAAAAAATAAATAAAATATGGTATTTAATAATTGCTTAAATTATTACTATATTGTAGCTCGTTATACTCTTAAATTATTATACGCTTAAATTATTACTATATTGAGCTCGTTATACTCTTGATTGTTGTTTGGTTATATTCTATAACTTTTACGGCAAATGTTCAGCAAACTGCCTAAAATTCGCCAACTTACCCTACCAATATCCAATTCTACCGAAACGTTTAAAACTTTTTAAAATAAATTATAAAAAATTTTTTTCATTTAAACTGCATGACGTAATTTATGTATGACCTTCTAACAGTTTGGCGGTAAACTTACGCAAAAAAAGTTGTATAGAACTCAAATTTAAAAGTCAAAAAAAGTACAGAAGTGGTTAAGATAAATCTTTACATTACTTTACATTAAGTTGTTGTTTGAACAATTTTAAACACAACAGATTTTAAGCATTTTTATTATCAATTCTTAAAAACTTCTCGGTTCTTCTATATCCACTTCTTCGTGTGACCTCTTAACTCTTTTAAAACCAATATTTTACGTGATACAATCTTTTTACCTCTCGTACATGTACGAGTTGTATACAACCTTACCACTTTCTCGAATAACTTAACTGAACAACAGCCTATTGCAAATCAATTTTCAATTCCAAAAAATAAAAAGAAAGTATACCGTAATAATTCATGACATAAATATTAGTACTTATTTCTTAGGGCCCTGGGAATCGTCAGTTTTTGTTTAGAATTGAATCTCGAATCGAAGGAGGTCTTGATTCGCGATTCGAATCACGTTTCGAATCAACATTTTGAAGTCTATATTTAAGCTTTTTTTTTTAATAATATATATTTCAAAATAAAATAAAATAAAACAATTGTATAATCTCTTTATTTATTTTATTATATTAATTGTATAATCTCTTTATTGATTGCCCTGGTTAACCTTTTGATTTTTGATTAATAGGTATTTAAGGATAAGTAACGTTATTTTGATAGCGCCAAAGCGCAGAATATCTAAAATACCCACAATATAAGCAAAATAAGTAAGGATTCGATTTTTAAAAATTTTTGAATCGTATCTCGAATCATACTTTTTATTCGATTCGAAATTTCGAAGCTTCGCAGGGCCCTAATATTTCTTCACAGGAATGAAAAGTATTCCATTTTTTTTGGCACGTCTTCATAAATATTTTCTTATAACATTCTAAATTATCAAAAAAATTTTAAGAATTTTTTCTTAATTTTTGCAATGTTATCACCTCATTCAACAGGATGCGATTGTTTTCGTATGACGTGTGAGCGACTTAACAGATATGTATTCATAGCCATTTTTAAAACTTTGCAAACATGCAAGTTTTAATGCGCTCGCGTGTAATAACTTTCCACTTATTTAGATGTTTAAGTCTGAACGACCGTGTAGAGTAGATCCGGTAAGAAATGAGCTAGCGACTTGCTAGCTAGTCGTTAACTATAGGTAAAAGACTCGTTAAGACATATGAAATACGAAGTAATAGTGTTTTAGACGTTTTAAACGCGTTTTGTGTCATCTGGCTATTTTTTTTGCACGGGGAAGAACTTTTTGTGATCCTTGTTGGTTTGGTTATTGTTGAAAATAACCACACCAACATAGATCACTAAAAGTTCTTTCCCGTGCGAAAAAAATAGCCAGATGACACAAGACGCGTTTAAAACATCTAAAACACTATTACTTCGTATTTAATACGTCTTAAACGAGTCAAATAAATTAAAAAATAAAAAAATATGTTGGTACTTATATAGTGTTAGTGGAGATAGTATCTCCTTTCTTCACAGCCCAATCGCGAATGACTAGTTTGTCGTGGATATTAACGCGAATTTTTCAGGCTCACGTTTCTTTTTCATGCGCTCTATTAAACCCTTCCTTATTTCTGTAGTTTTCAGTTCTAAATTCTTTACAAAAAATTTTAAGTTTGAACAATTTTTTAAGTATTTCAGCTTTGTCCTTATAATTTAACAGCTTCAAAACTATTGTTCTATGTTTCTTAGTTTAACTCGATGTGCTTTTTCAATTTTTATATTTTTAACTTCTAGGCATTCCTCTAACAATTTATGCACCTTATTTTCAGATTCAACCCATGTTTCATTTACACTTTCTTTTATTCCATCTATTCTTAAATTATTTCTACGTTAACGATCTTCTATCTCTCTTAGTTTGTTTTTGATTTTTAATATTTCTTTCATTAATATTACTTTTATCTTTAACATCGTTGTTAATTTTTGTTTGTTTTATTATTTCAAGCTTTGACGAAATTATTTCATTTCTTGCTTTTTTTAAAATTTGTTCTGTATTCTCCAAGATAATATTACTTTGATTTTCTAACATATCAGCGATCAACTTTTTTGTAATTTAAAGCATCCATGTTTATATCACCTGCAAAAAAAATATACATTTATCATGTCTACTTGTTCATTAAGTAATTTTTTTCAAGCTATTAATAAAGATTTATGACTGCCGCAAGGCGGTTGATAGGTGGTCAAAGGCGGTCGATAGGTGGTCGAAAGATGGTCGAAGGCGGTCGATATAATGACGAAATAAATAATGATTTGCCGGTTTTTTATGAATGCAAGGAATGCAAGAAGCGAACTTAAAATTTGAAGTCATACTTTAAATCTGAAATCTGACTTAATTGGCGGCTTTCAATTCAGACTTAAAAGTCAACTTGAAAAAGCAAAAATTAATTCCAAATGCGAAAAGCAAACTTTAAGTTTCAAGTTTTACAACAAATCTAGGGTCTTGTTGACCTTTTTTTCCCAAAAATGGATACGTAAGTGTTATTTGTGTTATTTTTATTGCAATTTAGAAGTATATTACATATCTTCATAAAAAATGTGTATACAATGTTATATGGACTTATATAATTTTATAATTAATTATATAATTTTGTATACACATTCTTTATGAAGAAATGTAATATACTTCTAAATTGTCATTCAATCAACAAGAATTAAGTAATGAAAATAGCATAAATAATACGAACGTCTCAATAGAAGATAAAGAGTGGTTTTGGGTCAGCATACATCCGAGTGGAGAGAATCCTTAAACGGTGTCCCTCAAGGTTTAGTTTTAGGATCTATTCTATTTGTATATTACAAGTAAAATAAGTTATATATATTAATGACTTGTAAGACACACTAAAATTTCCATTAAAACTATATGCCGTTGATAGTAAATTAATTGTTTCAATAAAAAACGAATCAGAAAGATTAAAGCTTCAAGATGATATTATATCTATGCAACAATGGGGAGACCTATGGTGTATGTATTTCAATGAAAAAAATGTAAAGTTATTCACTTTGGAGTAAAAAACAAAAAGTTCAAATATTTTATGATAAATATGACTAATAGTAATGAACATATAGTACTACAAGAAACAGAAATAGAAAAAGATCTGGGTATTATTATTACAAATAAACTAAAATGGCACAATCAAGTCATAAAAGCAGCAAATAATGCAAACCAGATTTTGGGAACGGTTAATAAAGCTTTTAGAAATTTGGATGTCTGCACTATGAAAGTATTATATACATTGCTTGTAAGACCACATTTAGACTATGCTGTCTCAGTTTGGATTTCTAAACAAGAACAAGATGTAGATCATTTTTTAAAATGTTTAAAAAAGAGCGACAAAAATGCCATCTTTAAAAATAATCAAATATGAAAACAGACAGAAAAAAAGAATTCACGGAGACTTTATACAAATGTATAAAATAGTATATGGTTACAATAAAATTTCATTACAAAAACTAGTAAACTTTATAACCAACAGAGTAATAGACGAAAAAAAATCAGAAATCACAACTACAGGTTCTCAATAGAATACACTCCAAAATGTAACGCAAGACATAACTTTTTCTCGATTCTGTAACAATTGGAACAATTTAGATCATGAAAATGTTTATGTGAAGACGATAAACTCTTTTAAAAACAATATTGAGAAAAGATAAAAGTAAATTTTAACTGTTTATAAACTAATCTCTTATGTGATTACTGTTATAAACTAATCTCTTATGTGATTACTTTCCGTGTAATTTTTACACTACGGTTTTCAATTTAATAATAATAATAAATGTTAATTAATTTTTGGGAAAAAAAAGTCATTAAGGTCTCAGATTTAAAGTAAAAATATACGGAATTTTATGAATGATATGCAATCCAAGAAGATTAACCCACAAAATTTGAATAGTTTTTTTATGATCGAATCTTGTTTAGTGTTTATTTTCACGCACTAAATGCTAAAAGATGGAACCAATATTTAATTATGTCAGTCTAAAAATAGCAATAAAAATTGAAAAGTGTGAAGAGTAAATGACAAAGTTATTCATAAAAAACTGTCTTCTCAATAATTTAGTCTAAATTGGTTTGTCCGAATAGCTTGAACACCATCCATATATCAATAAATAGTTTACATTTACATTTTACAAATAGTTATTGATTAAAGATATTTAATTTACAAACTTTATTTAAATATAATTGTTATAAGGTGTTCCATTTGTTTTCTTCCGAAAGTGACTATTCTGCAACTTACTGTTTCAAAATAATCTTATTTTACTGTTATTTCAAAAATTAAGTGTTTAAGTTTATATTGCAATATTGAAGATTTAATTGTTTAAAGTTTTCCGGTTTACAACCTAGTTGAGACATAATTAATAAATATAAACCCCGTTTAACAATTTATCAATTAGCGTATTTTACTTAACTCCGTAGTTGACGTGTCCGTTATTAACTCATAACATTTTACGAGAAGTAGTAAATTTAACTAAAAAATTTTTTTTGACCGGCGTAGAAAGTTATAAAAACCTTCAATAACTTTCACTACCGAGAGCGTTTAAAAGTATCAAGTGTTTTAAAATATATTAAGATGGAATTATAATTAAAGCTTCAGAGAACAAACGTTATTTTAAGTATTTTATGATATTCTCAATTTTATTCTGCCATATTTTATTTTATTTATTATGCCAATTTAATTTTATATCCATTATAACGTAAAGTAAAACAGATTAGAGATTGAGTTCGTGTCAAGGTTAGTCTCGCTAGACCATTACTTTGTATTACTTTGATTTTTTTTTGTTTTGTTTTTTATCTGTAATTTTTTTTTTTTTAAGTGAAACAAAATTAAGTGTCATTGCGTTATGAGAGATTATCTCCAGAAATCTTATCTCCATAGACATTAGGAAAATATTTTAACAAATCGACTTAGGCACCTCAAGGATATAAACTTACTTCCATATTTGCTTACAACAATAACTTTTACCGCTGTGCAACTTTGACTGAGTATTAACTGCGTGTTTATTTTTTATTTCCTTTGAGTTTTTATTGGTATAGTTCATATGTTATGACAAGAAAAAATCAATTGGGAAACATTTGGACATTTTAAAAGTTTAATGTTGATATATCTTTACGTTGTAAAACGAATTGCAAATACTTTTGTTTTTTTACTTTCATATAAACATATATCTCATTGCATTGATTTAGAGCAGAGTCGATAAAAAACTTACGAAAATATTAAATGGTTTATATATAATAATGGCTGTAAGGACTTTTCATGACTTGAGTGGCTTTGCAAATGACTTCATTTTGCTCCAAATTTTCAAACTATTTAAAAAGACAATTTTATCAAAAATATTTCATACATCACTTGTTGATTTAAAACTTCATATCACGCCACAGTTTTTTAAACATATTTAATTATTCACCTTCATAAAACCATATCAGTTTTATATTTTATAAAGAAATGTTTTTTTTAGAAAGAGTTTTTGTTATATTATGATTATTGTTAAAAGGTAATTAATAAGATTTTAAAAAAAAGTATAACCAAAGTATAGAGGATCGAAAAAATATATATCAAAAAATACTGAAACGTATTCATATCAGTTAAATAGTATGTTTACAAAAAATATAAATACTAAATTTTGGTTATAGATTTTCTCGTTATATTTAAAATTGCAATTATAATTGCTTTATTATTTATAACTGGTTCATTGTGATGTTTAATTATATTTAATTGATTTAATATTTATTTATCGTTAGTATTTATTTATCGTTAATATTTATTTACCTATATATTATATTGTCATTTATCTTTTATTATTATATTATTATATTTTTTTATTATTACATTATTATACTATTATATTTTAAGTTATATATAATAATATTAAGTTATCGTTTTATTAATGGTTTAGTTATGAGTTGATTTTTTTACTTTTTCACAAATTTATAAAACTTTAACGCGTATCAACAACTATACAAAAAAAAAAAAAAAATATGATGTAATAAAATTTATAATAGCCGATTACATTATTATAAATTATATCATTTTATTTTTTTAATCTTATGTTTAGATAAAATAGTAAAATGTTTGCATTCCAACAACTGACAATATTTGTAATTGCAATGCTTATGAGAATGTTTGAAGGTCTGCCACCAGTTAACCGGTAATTTTTATGATCCTTATGAAAATACTTTAGAGCTAAACCTTTGATTAACAGCCAGTTAAGCTAAAGAGATGCAAATATGGCTCTAGATTAGTTGATTTTGTCATACAAATTTTTAAAGAAATAACACATAAAACATAAATTTATTTATAGAATTCATCAAGAAACATCCAATCCGGACAAAGTGAACGCAGTTGAATGGGATTATTTTATGCTTGTTACAGAATGGCCGCAATCTTCATGCGAATATGTGAATGTGAGCAATTGAATACAATTTTTAATTTAAACAACGGAATTTTATTTCCATATTTAAACTTTTTACTTTTTATCTACCTTTAGGCTACTCATCAGCACCATACTTGTGTCATACCTGATGCCGTTAACGGGTGGACAATTCATGGGTTATGGCCCTCTGTTGAAAAGGGTGAGCAACCGTTTTTTTGTGAACCATGGAAGTTTGATGAAGACAAAGTGAAAGTAATATGTCGTTTTTAGAAATATAAGCTACTTGAATAATTTTAGTACATAGTATTAATGGTTATAAATTATAAGTGTTTCAAATATTATAAGCCTTTAAATTTTGTTACCACAGAGAATATTTAAAAATTCTTACACAATGAGCGTAAATTTCATCTAAATCCTATTCCATCATCTAATTGCATTGTTAAAAAGAATTTTTGAAAAGATTTTATTTTATTTTTATAAAAATTTTATTATAGAGATTTTAGTAGATCGTTCAATAACCTTTACAACTTTTATTAGGATTTAGAAGGTAACCTGGAGTTGTATTGGCCGAATATTTTTGTTGAAACTACCCCACAAAGTTTTTGGTATGATTTTGTATTTTGACGTAAACTTTTTTTACTTAAAATAAAAATAATTAAAATTGTGTTTCTTTACTTTAAGGAAACATGAATATGAGAAGCATGGAACATGTGCTTCAAGTGTTAAAGGTTTTGAGACAGAGCACGATTACTTCCAAAAAGCTTTAGAATTGAGGGAAAAGTTTGATATAATGAGGTATGATGTTTTTTTATTATTCGTGTGTATAGACGTTTACAAGTACGTCTTGATGAATGCCATTAAGTATGATTGTTTATTGATTAGTTAAAATAACGATATCTCTGTTAATTGATACGTTTTATTTACATGTTTTGGTAACGTTTGCAAATGCTGAAATATTGTATTTAGAGTTTTAAGCGAAAGTAAAATTGTTCCGTCAACTGATTCAAGCTACCAGGTTTATATTGCAAAACAAATTTTGATATTTTGATATTGAGAGATTGTTAATTAGACGCAGTTTTTTGTCTCGTTGTAATTGTTAAGTATATTGTATTATGCATCATGCAAATATATTTTTTAACTCAACTTATAATTGCATTTTATAAAAAGGCTCTGTTTATTTAACTTTTTATTATAGTTTTCTGATATTGAGGAGGCATTAAAAAGTGGATATTCTGCAAAGGTGTGTTTTGAATGCTCTGGAATAAAGGTAAGGGTTTTAACTAGATTCATTTTATATAATTATATATATATATATATATATATATATATATATATATATATATATATATATATATATATATATATATATATATATATATATATATATATATATACACACAGCAAACATGCTATAGCGGAATTTCAGCGGACCTAAATAGGCATTTTGAGCGGACCGTTGTAGTTTTGCCCATCGGCTACTTAGATGACCATTAGTGGCTATCCGATTATTAACCAAAAGTGGTTTGCCAATAATAATGCGGGGAAATGATCGGCTTTCCATTTATAGCGGTTGCGTCTAATGGTCTACTAAATAACCGTTGAGCAAAACTCCAATAAACCGCTAAAAAATGCCTATATAGGTCCACTGGAAATCCACTAAAAGAAAGTTTGCTGGGTAGTATATATATATACTATTTACGTATAGGTAGTTATTTTAAAAAATGATTTTTAAATTAAGTTTCAAGTTTCTGAGTACATTCAATTTTAAAACGTCCAAATTTTTTGAATTTTTTTGAAAAAGATCATTTGCGCTTAAATTAATCCATTTTTTATTTCCAGCACTCACAACAGGTTCTCTCTGCTGGTTACGTTTGCTTGAACAAACAACTAGAACAAATTGATTGCGGTTACTGTGAGCATGGATGCAAAACAGATGAACCTATTTTTTATCATTCGAAAAGTTCTAACTTATACGAGTCAGTTGTTGCTTAGCATATTTCAATTTATGAATAATATAATAGTATATAATTATAATTAGATTGCTTAAGACTTAAATAACTATAATAAGATGCATAAAATTTAAATTATATTTTTAGCTAACGTAAATCTTTTAACAAATTGTTTTTTTATTTAGAACTACTTTTTTCTATATAATTTTATTTTTAATTGCTTTAAACGGAATAGGTGTAAAACTATATTTCTAGTTAAAACTTTAGTATTTTACTCATGGAAATGTGTGTTTAAACCATATTACTTAAAAAAGTGTGATGTAGTAGATATGCATATGAAAAAGAATAAGATTGCTTTGGCAAATATAGTTATATTTTTCAAAATATAAATACGAAACATCTTTTTTAAAAACGAACTCGTTTAAAATTGTTTTAGATTTATATAAAAAATAGTTGTTGATACTACAGTTAAGACCAAAACGATCCGGCCATCTAGTACTTATAACCAACAAGAACCAATTACCTAATATTTATAGCAAAAAAACGTTTTTGTACTGTTTATTTAAAAAAATAACATACATGAGAATAAAAGAGTTACAGTATAAAACATTTTTTATTGCTTTGTAGTATAAAACATGTTTTAGTGCTTTGTGCTTCTTAAACTTTTAAAACAGGTTCAATTTTTCGCGGCATTGAGGCAACAAATGTCATGCAAAAATATTTAGGAGTTATTTTATTCCACCACGCTTTTATTAATTTTTCAGATATCCTAGTGGGATTGGGTTCTATATAGAAATTTCTACTTTCAATTACTTTGTCCATAAATTTTTAGTCGGGTTTAAATCGGGTGAACTGCTCGGTTTTAAGGTGAAAACGTTAAGAACATTGTAAAAGGTGTAAACCAGCACAATTTTTGGCAGTGATTGCACTCCAAATAATAATTTCTAAACACTGCAAGAAGCAATGTATTGAAATTTAACCTGTTTAACTTGCATTTTGTCTAAGAACTGCAAAACTGTAGCGCAGTGGTGAGAGTTCTGGATCTCAATAGTCTTTAGTGAAACGCCGACTCTAGCCCAATAAACAACATTTGTAATGAAGGAGGAGAATTTCCTAACTAAATACTCTTCCTCAGTGCTCTGTTGACCGTAAGGACTTCTGTTATAAGACCGTAAGAACTTCTGGAAGCATCTTAATAGCCACACAAAAAAAAATATATATATATATTTTTTCTTTTAATTTTATATTAATTTTCTGTTTATATAAATTACAATTCCCTTTCACAAAAAATAAAGTATAATTACAAATGTATAAATAATAAACAGACAGATGATCAAAGAAGATTTAGATGGCAAAATACTAACTTAATCTCTTTATAGAGCCCCTACAGATCATAACAATAATAGTAAAGTATGGTTAATAAATTAAAGATAAAATATTTAAGAACAAAAATATTTAAGAACAAAAATATAGAAAAAAGAAGATGTATCAATTAAAAGTACAAACACCCTCAATTAGTCAAAAAAGAAGATATAATATTTAAAAATACATATAGTGAATAAAGAATATATATATATATATATATATATATATATATATATATATATATATATATATATATATATATATATATATATATATATATATATATATATATATATATATATATATATATATATATATATATGATATATATATATATATATATATATATATATATATATATATATATATATATATGATATATATATATATATATATATATATATATATATATATATATATATATATATATATACATTTATACAAATAATTAAAAAGAAGATATTATATTTTTTAATACTAATAGTCACAAAAGTCATAAAAGAAGATATTTAAATACAAGTTTCAATTAAATATATGATATCATATTCAACATATAATATATAAAGATTTCATACAGTATTTAAAAATACAAACAGTTAAATAACCAGATATAATGCTTAAAAAAAAATTTTGTAAACAAAAATAAAAATTAATCCTTAAGATTTAAAACGTAAGTTTTTGTTTGACACTGAAATGAATTTAATGATTTTGCCATATTTAAATTGCCTTTTAGAAAAGAGTTCCATAGCTTAGGTCTTCTATAAGTTATACTATATTCTGTGTATTTGTTTTCTTTTTTAGGTAATTAAATGTGTTACTTTGATTTATTCTTAAGAAATACTTCTCATTAAGATTTTTATGATGGAGATTTTCAGGAGTTTTTTTTTCAGGAGATTTTCAGGAGTTAGACTATTAGTATATTTAAACATAAAGTTTATGTGTTGGTAAATCAAGTTGGTTATCTGAAATATGTTCATTTTCAAATCCAACATTAAAGGTTTAGTGTGGTTCTCCCTTTTTTTTGTTGTATATAATTCTACAAGCATGTTTTTGTAAGCAAAAATTTTTTTATGTTTTGTTGGTTGACAACTTGCACACGTAATATTTGCATAACTAATGCAACAATGAATTAAGCTGAAGTAAAAGCTTTGGAGTATGTGAACTTATGTCTAAGTGAACATGACAAATTTTAACAATCCATTCTTCGTGTTCATTTTAAAGTTTGAGGCAAATTCAAATATCTTTTTAAAAAAAAACGTAACTTTAATATATAAAATATTATTATATACCTATATAACTATCTATATATCTATACAGCTTTTATTAGTGATTATATAAATGTCATATAACTTAAGCTTTCAGTTTATGTTATTATATTTACATAACTATCATTATTTACATAACTATCAATATTTACATAATTATCATTATTTATCATTTGAACTTTATTTATTATTTGTACATTTTTCTTCGTTTATTCTTTTGTTTGTGCTTGTTTTAACATTTTATTTGTATATTTATTTTTATTTATTCTTTTATTCATGATTATTTTAACATTCTTCCCAAGTATATTATTTCATTATTATATTGGCTTGATAGTGTTTTTGTTAGTTGTCAACATCTATTTAATCTCTTCAACATCATCTACTTGATTTTGTATAACCTACCTGTACTGTGTTATATATACTGTTCTTATGCAAATCCGTTTTGCCTCACAATTACTCTCTTATTATAAGTTTATCTTATTTATTATATCCTTAGTCACTCCTTTTTTTTAATAACATTCTGCCTACCAAATTATGAAATATAATAACATAATAACATTCTAACATTCTGTTCATCAATTTACATAATAACATTCTGCCTACCAAATTATGAAAAATAAAACACTCTGTATTTTTTGTTTTAAAACAGAAACAGATAACCACAAAGTCATCTTTTGTGACTGTTGCAGTTCATGGGTTCATGCTAAGTGCAACCAAATAGATTTGCTCACTTATAATTTTCTCTCTGAAGACTCTTCAGAATGGTACTGTTTTAATTGTATATCTAAAAACATGCCATTTGGTCTGCTTACTGATAATGAGCTCTTAACAACATAATCATGCAAAAATCTGCAAATTGCATCATCAAATTTTCTTGTATCTCCAATTCATTCAAGAAACATACCTAAAGAACTTAATACTATCTCTGGTTCTGCAATAAATTGTAAATTCTATGATGTTGTTGACTTTAATAAAGCTATCAAACCTAATTCAGATTTATATCTTCACCATAACATTGCATCACTTCCCTATCACATTGATGACCTGTGCAGTCTTATCAGCACATTAAGTATCATACCTATGGCAATAGGGATTACTTATACCTTAATGATACCAATATAACAGACATAACTATTAATGGATTCAATATTGAGCATTGACCCACTGAGGCCAAAAAAGGTGGAGCTCTTTTATATATGCTGTCTAATTTAAATTATGTAGTTCGTCATGACTTACTTACCAAAATTACTTGAGTCTGTTTTTGTTGAAATCATTAAGCCACACAAAACAAATGTCACTATTGGTTGTATATATCGTCATCCATCAATGAATTAAAATGAATTCAATACAACATTTTTAAATCCACTTCTTAAAAAGTTAAGCAAAGAACAAGTATTTATCTTTTTAATGGGCGATTTCAATGCAGATCTACTGAGCTATAGTGAATCTAATCCTACTTCCAACTACCCTGATACCTTATGTTCTTACTTATTTGATCCTTCCATAATCTTACCTACCCGTATAACAACTAAATCTCAAACACTTATTGATAACATCTTTATGAACTTCTACTCTTCTGATCATCTCTCAGGTAACCTAACTATTTCTCGGATCACACAGCACAATTTGTTTGTGTTCCCTATTTCTCGGATCACACAGCACAATTTGTTTGTGTTCCTGGCACATCCAACCAACCAAATAAAGTTAAAATTTCTAGAAGATGTTTAAAAAAATTTGACCCTGACAAGTTTATTATAGAAATTTCTAAAATCAACTGGGAGCTTATAGTTAAAAAAGATGACAATATTAATGAATCCATCAATAATTTTTTAAAATTATTTAATAGGGTTCTAGACCAATGCGCCCCCTATAAAACTTTGACTAAAAATCAAATTAAACTTAAATCTAAACCCTGGATCTCTAAAGGCTTACTTATCTCTGTAAAAAACAAACTCTATAAAAAATGTGTAAGATGTAAAAACATTAATACTAAAAATGAGTTTTTCACAAAATTTAAATTCTATAGAAATCAAATTAACAACTTATTAAAAAGTAGTTAAAAATCATACTACATAACTTATTTTAATAACAACATAAACAACATAAAAAATACATGGAAAGGCATAAAAGATATCATAAATATATTTATGATATCTTTATATTAAATATATTTTCAAATATATTTAATAACTACTTTATCTCTATTCGTGAAAAACTACTCAATAATATTATGCCATCAGAATATACTTATAGTGACTTTCTTAATTTTCCTAATGCTAATTCTTTCTTTATTGATCCTGTTAGTGAGGATGAGGTATCTAGTCTTATTAGTAATACTCTTAAAAATGATAAAAGTTATGGACCTAACAGCATACCTACATTTTTTCTTAAACTTACCTCTCACATAATCTCCAAACCTCTTAGCATTATGATAAATAATTCGTTTAAAAATGGCGAATTCTCTGATGTTTTTAAAGTAGCTCAAGTCATTCCAATTTATAAAGCAGGCTCCTTACTAGATTTTTTTAACTATCGACCCATTTCCCTTCTTTCCAACTTAAGCAAACTTTTTAAAAAGGCTATGCATAAGAGACTATACAAGTTTCTAGATAAATTTAAATGCTTGTACCAACATCAATATGGATTTCGAAGCAAACATTCTACAACCCTTACACTTATTGAAATTACTGAGAAGATTAAAAGAGCTCTAGATAATAAACACTTTGCATGTGGG